GAGTGAGAAGGTGCTAAAGGTAATGGCTTGCATAGAAAATAACTGGAAAAATTTTGAGGAGCTTTATTTATGCTTCACGAACTCAGTAAATAAATAAAAATATACAATAGGAGTAGTAAGGAAGGACAGACTGAGGGTGCCAAAGTTGTCAAAGGGTGGACCTACTTTTTATTAGTACTTGTATTTTGTTTACAAAAGAAATGATATTGGATATGGTTTAAAAATTAAACTGTTGATATATTGTGTAATTTGATTTTTTAGTACTGTTTTTTTTCTGTAGCTGTACTTCCTGCAAAGGTTCCCTTTGTAGGAGGTGAACCAGAAGACAAAGACACCATCGAACATTGGATGATAAGGCTGTGATGAGTAGAATTAACACGGAAAAGGAGAGTCAACGTGGCATTTTTTATAGTTTACCCTCTGCTGAAGTGAATAAGTCAACATAGTCGGGGAGTAGTAGAAGTTTCCATCATCTAGTGAGTAATACTAACGTGGTAATATCTGTTGGTCACAGTCAATATCTGTTTGATGACATACATTTCTAATGCGCAGGACATTAAGGAGTTTTGGGTCAATTTCAACAACACATTGAACAATAAAATGGCCAAGATTCAAAACTTTGTTTGTGATGAATTGGTTAAGTTGAAAAACAAAATTCTTAACTTGGGAGGCAATAAAGAAGTCAATGATGAGCAGCCAGATGAAAATGACAAAGATGAGCATGAACAAGAAGGAGAAGCATATCATACTGACAAGGATGAAGATGAGCAGCCATAAGATGATAAAGTTATGACTGTAGAGGGCAGAGAAAAACATCAAAGTGGTGAGAAATCAGATGATGATGAACAATGAGAAGAAGAAGAGGAAGATGAAGATGACGATAACAATGTTAGAGAAAATGAAGCCACAGAAAAGGATGCTAAAGGTAAACAGGAGGCTAAAACTGAAGAAGAGAACAAAAAAGGGAAAATGGTTGGGAAAACGATGCAACTACCCACAAGGAGGTTAACTAGAGGTAAACTCCCAATAGTGAAATCTCCATACATGTTTACTTATGGAAGAAAAGTGAAAATGAGTGACAAGAATGCATTTTATACTATGTGTATTGAGTGGTGTCAACTAGATGAGGCTCAAGAGTAAGTATAGTCAGTTATTATGGAAAAGACAACCTGTGAATAATCCTAGTACGCAATACTGACTATTTATTTCCACTTTTATATTTGTTGTAGGGTCATAGTAGATATGTTTAGGCATTTGGCACCACGAGCAGACCTACAAGCACTAAGTGGTCCCAGAAGGTAGATAAGTAACAAGGTAGGTGCACCTGTTCAATTTATATCAAAGTGGGGCATATATGGAATGTGCCAGATTTTTAATTTTTCCATATCCTTTTATCTGCAGATCATCACTCGGATTGCCCACACCATCAACACTGACCAACAGGGGAATGCCTCTGTGGTTAAAAGACACATATTTGATGCAAATTTCATGGTCAGTGTTATCCCCTATTAATGGGTAAATGTTTTAAATTGTTTAGTCAAGTTATCAATATAGTTTCTTCACTAACAATTTACATTGTTGTGCAATTTTCTTTTGTCATAGACAGGGATGGTGCAGGAACACACAGCATGGCAAGTGGACAAACTGTAACATCCTGAGTTTTTATCGGGTTTTAATAGCCTCTTTTGGGTTGATTTTGAGGATAGATTAGCAATTTAATCTTGATCTTGGTGTTTGGGTTGGATTTGAGGTATGTTGGAGGAATAGGTGAACGTACCCCTCTCAGGGTATGTTCGCCGCGGCACACCGGGAGTTCCAGGTAGGCTTTGTGTTTCGGGCAGGTTTGGCCGCGGCGAAGTCATAGGGACGCCGCGGCGAAGTTGTTCAGGTGAGCGAGGCTTCCCTTTCAGGGAGCTTTCGCCGCGGCGAGGATTGGAGTTCGCTGCGGCGAAGTAAGGTTTTCAGGCGAGTAATCCCTCTCGGGATTAGTTCGTCGCGGCGAAGATATGGGTTCGCCGCGGTGAAAGGTCCCGAATCTATATAGTCGTGGGAGGGGTTCAGTGTGCGAAAATTAGAAAATCTGAAGGAGGAGAGAGGAGCTCTGCTAGGGTTTCGAATTTCTGGCTTGGAGGGGGCATTTCTAAGGATCCATTACCTCAAGTAAGTGATTTTAACCTCTAATCTACTTTCTTTCTTGGAATTTCTGAGGATTTTTGGTGGAACCCTAGGATTTTCTAGGTTGTGATGGAACTGAGGTTTTTGACCGATTGTTTTGAGTTTAATTGATTGCTTTGGGTTAATCTAAGTGTTTAATCGGTATAGTTTTCTTGGATTTAAAGAATCTTGAATTTTTGGAGTTAGGGTTTATGGAAATAGGTGATTTGGGATTGAGGATGACAATGTAGAGGTTGATTCTGAGTTTTGTGATTTGGGTTATGTTAAGGAGGGTTAAATTGGATGTTTAATCGGTTTAGATTTGCTGTTGGAACCTTAATTGCTCAAATGGGATGTTTGGGGGTAGAATTCCTATAGTGGGTCCTTGAGGTTATGAATTTTAATTGATGTTTGGAAATGAATTAAGGTTTTAATGGATTGGTATGACTTTGGAGTGTTGCCTTGATAGTTATACCCTTTGAGTTGGGTAGAGTTTTGATGAGAGATAGGAATTTTGTGTCCCCAAGTGTTGTTTTGGCCACATTATTAGTTTGAAAGCTAATATATATTGGTTGTGTGTTTGTGTGCTTGTGTAGACCGGTTGTGAGTCTTGGTGGTGCACAGGGCCACATCGTTGGTTTGTTGTTCCTTGCTCAGGCGAGAGGTAACCACTTTCCAATCCTTAGTACTTTCTTCTGTGGTATTGTGAGTAGATTTATGTTTTGTGCTCCAAGTAGTAATTATGTTCAAACTATATGTTGTATATAAAAAGGAAAAACCGTCTTGTGGGGTTTCGATTGATGATGAATGAATCTTGAAATTGTGAAGGATATGCCACTGAATGAAGTTACTTATGAAATGTTCAATTACTATTTGATTATGGTTTGAACATGATGCATGAATTGGGAATTGGTGAGAGTTTTTGATAGTTACTACCACGTGGTAAGGCCTCCATTAATACATGATGGTTGGCTTAGTACGTCCCCCATAGTGAGGGATAGGCCTTTTGGCTCCCTACGTCCCCCAGAGTGAGGGATAGGCCTTTTATGGCTCCTTACGTCCCCTAGAGTGAGGGATAGGCCGGGTTCGGCTCTTGAAAATCCCCCAAAGTGAGGGATATGGTTGATGGGAATTGCATCATTTCACTCGTATGAATTGTTGTGGCTATCTTGTTATCATATTACTTGTGAACTATCCCATTTGACACCTCACGAGCACCTATTTAGTAGTACCTAGTATTGGAAAGGTTGGTTACTGGGACTTTGTCTCACCCCGTGGTTTACAATGTTTTCAGGTGAAGTTTCTAGGCGTGCGCCTTCGGGAAGAGACGCAGAGGCTTGAGCTTGGTTAGCTTTAGGCCTCTAGCCTTTGTATATGTATGGAAAGTATATATATTGCCACATTTAGGATCTTTTGAGATATTTTGATTACCCGGCCTTATTGTAAATTGGAGAATTTGTTATCTCCTCATTTTAGTTGGCCGGAGGGCATTTCTATTGTATTATGAAACTTTGTTACATGGTTGAAAACTAATTGGATGGGCTGCTTTTGATGTATGTTGTTACCCGGGCCGGAGGCTCGGAGGCCCAGTGTATATGAATGAATGATTTTAGTTGCATGCAACGGATTACGGGTTGACCCGAGTTTGAAAGTAAATTTCTAAAAGTATGAAATTTTCCTTCTACTATGGTAGCTCATTTTAACAGCTTTCCTTTTCTACCATAGTAGTGGTTTTACGACGAGTGATAATGTTTTGAGGTTAAGGAGTTTTACACAAACATCTCAAAGAACTACTCCCAGAACACCTGGGGTGCAATTTGGGTGAGTCTGAATACATTTTTACACCTGTTTTGTTTGCACTGTATTGGTTTTGCTTTGTGTTTGAACCCAGCACACTAAATTTTTATGTGCTAGACTCTCTACGTGGTGGCGAGTATACAATAAAGCACCAAAAGAAGAAGAAAAAGTCTGATCCAACATTGAGGGGGCAGGAAATGATGGCAGAAACTTGTGTAAGTGCTATAATTAGTCTTTTATTTTTCTAGAGAACCATAGTATCCCCTGTGTGATTGTCATTTGAAATTGTGTAAAGGGCACACTTCATTGAAATACCAAGGAGAGTGAAGCCTGAGTTAGAGGTTTTGGCCAACCCAGATTCAAACAATGTCATCTTGCATCCCACAGTTCATGTTTCATAGAATACATGAGTCTTTGGTTCACTGTAAGTTATTTGTCATAAATTATCATCGAATATATGAGCCAACATTGTCATGTGTTGGTTTTTTAGTGACAATTGGGGGGTTCATGTCATCACATATCTAAGAGAGGGGCCCTACCCACAAGAGAAAGATGGATTTTAATTCACCATGCCTTATTATACAGCAATAGGTGTTGAATTATATGTTAATGACTTCATGCATCTATATGAACTTATTGAGAAAACTTATTATTGTCTTATAGGAGCAATACACATCTCTACAATATGAGCTGTTATGGTGGCTCATGACTCATAAAAGAAACATCAAGTCAAATGCTGTTGCCAAACACCTTGCCTAGATTAACACACAACGCAAGAGAAAGCGATGGCATTACAAATTTTGACATTGACCATGTAGTTTTTGCTAATAAGCATTGTTATTCATGTTATGAACACTTTGTGCTGACTTAAATCTTGTGCATACAAAAGATATTAGGGAATGTCTGTTTTGATGGAATTCATATTATCAGCACTTGTTTACTTTGATTATATGTATGATTGACCATAGAAATTAAGGAATTTGCAATAAGGATACAGAAATTAACACCAAATGTTCATCCATTTCCAAGTTAACAACCTACATTAACAATTAGCGCTTTGCATGAAGGATTAGACAATTTGCAAGAGAGACAATTACGTTAACAACAACAATTAGATCATTCAACGTGTTGTTCTTCACTTGAATAACGTGTACTCTTACATATGCAAGTGCCCTCCTTGACCTGAACAAGGTGTCCATTTGCAAGTAGAAATAGGAAATTTGCAACACTTATACATATATTCACAATAGGAATCAATCCATATACATATGCCCTCCTTGACCTGAACAGGGTGTCCACTTGCAATTGGGACTAGACAAATTACAAAAGACATACTTGGATTCACATATGGAATCAGTCCATTTACATGTGGATTGATTCACTTAAAGAATGTGTCCATGAGTGAACAAGTGTAACAGAGCCCATTTGCAAGTGGGACTAGTGTCACACCTTACTATCAGATCCACTTAGGATTTAACTAAAACCATTTTACACTACATTGGATGGTCTTGGGCTTAAAAATACATGAAAAAAAACTGATTTTCGGATTTTTACTGTTCATCGGGTAAAAATCCAGTTTTTCTGACCCAATTTCAAAAATCCATAACTTATTCCAAAAAAATCCAATTAGGGTGATTCAAAATTATATTTAAAGCTCTTTAAGTCCTCTTTCAAGGAAAAATAATTTCATGATCCATTTCCATATGAAAAAGCGTCAGGGTTTTGTGAAATGCAACACTATCCATTTGCCAAAAACCCTTTTTCCCAAATTCTGACCTTTAACTTTGAAAAATCATTACGAATCGTATACTTGGCCATTTTTAACGTATTAGATATCAAATTGAAGATCAGGATGTTATCTTTCATCATATCAAATTTTGTGATTAAACGCGTTCGGAAGAATAATCAAAAAGTTGCATGAACATGGCAGTATCAGTGTGCTTACAGCACTATTAGCTTAATATATACATAACCAAAAAGGGTCCACGAATTTTATGGCAAAACACCATACTTTAGCCTCCAATCTGCAGCTTGCTCATAGTAGTTCCAGGCCCTAAAATGTTAGATTATATTTGGGGGATGAAATTTTAAGAAATCCCAGTAGCAAGATCAATCAACCAAACATCATTATAAAGCATTTCAACATTAGCTATCATAGGAGAACTAATCTTTTATAATAGGCAACCTCAACATGCAAGGCTATGGCAACAAATGCAAGGAGCAACCATATCACAACATCATAGTTCAGCCATATAATAGCAGGCATACATGCCATAAATAACAATGCAAATTTAATATTAATGGCTAATTAGATCCCACTACCTTAATCCAATGCTTTTTGTTTTTCTTGTTGTTCCTTCTTGCTTCCACAAGTGCCAAACCCTAACATGGCAATCCATAAAAAGAGTAGCAAGAATCATCAACAATTTCTCATAAAATCAATAGCATAACTCAAGTAACTCCTAAGCCCCTTAAAGCTTCCATCTTTGTTCTTGAATTTTTAGAGTTGTTTTCCATAAACCCTAAAAATTCCCTCTCGACTCAACCCCACAACCCAAAATTTTCAACTTTGATTCTATGGCTTCCAACACTTGTTCTTTAGGTTTACCCTACACTATTCTTCATTTTGAACACAATGAAAGCCTCAAAACTTTGAAAAACACATCCTAGGGTTCAGTTTTGATCTTGGCCGAACCATACCTCTTGAAGTTCAACCATGAAAACTTTTCAAAACAACACTAAACCACTTGGATCTACTATACTTTGAAGTATCCTAGCAAGATCTAACAACCAAACTCCCTTCCCCTTTTATTATTCAGTTCGGCCAACCATTAAAGAGAGAGGGGACAGATTTTTCAATCATAAAAGAGAAGGAAAACAAGGCAAGAATTCACCTTGAATCCTTGATTGAATGACCAAAATTGATAGCTTTTCCTTGGTTCTCCTTCAAAACCTTCTCTTTTCTCTCTTCCTCTCACTTGCCTGAAACTTTGATCAGAAAAATGGGGAGGATGAGCTCATTAATGCTCACAAAATATCCCATCTACCCACATTAATGAGCAGCCAAGTGTCAAGTGCCTACTTAGTCTTGTATTTTCCCTTTTAATTAACTTAATGACAATTGAAATTAATTTCAAAAGTCAAGATCCTCTCCATTGGTAGCTTGACACTTGGAAAGTTCTAATTACCATCCATTAAAGGCTTGACAAGTGGCAACTTGTAGGCCAAGTAAAGTGTAAGACTCTGCTTCTTGCTTTATCGGTGCACTTTTACTCCGGGTTTTAACTTCTTTTCTATAATTACAATACTCTGGCCCCTATAATTATTTTCTGTCAGATCTATAAATTATTCTCTTCATTTTTATCTTTCTAATTTTCCCTCTTTGTCTCAAATTTAATTTTTCAATAATTAAATAAAAAGGAAACCTAATTTCCTTCTCTTTATTGATTTTTTCACTTTTCAAAAGAATTGGAAAAAATCCTAAATACTTGAGGGTCTTCTTTTAATTCCATAATCACTTATAATTCCTTGGGATATCATAGAACTTTTCTTGGGATTTTATTCTTCTTAAATATATTTATTTGAAATTTTCCAAATAAAGAACTTAAACTTACTTAAATTGCCCTTAAATTCCTTTGTAATTTCTCTAAGGGCAAATTGGTCATAAAACCAATTTTATAATCCCATATAATTCTCAAGGAACATTATCATTATTTTTCCTTAATTTTCTGAGACTCAAAATTATTTTTTCATAATTATTCTTGACTAATTTTTCTTAATTAGTCAAACTTTTCATAATTAGCCTAGAAAATTATAATAATTATTTTCCACCAAAATTCTTCTTTTTCTCCTTGTCATTTTTGACCTTTAAATATTTAGGAATATCCTTATCCCTAGTTGCCATATTACTGGATGTGACAACTAGACCATTTGTAATATAGATACATTTATTGACAACAACATATAGCCCATTTGCATGTGGATTAATTCACCTGAAAAATGTATCTAAGTATGGGAGAGTCCATTTGCAAGTAGGACTATAAAATTTACAACATAGATACATTTATTAACAACTACAAATAGTCCATTTGCATATGACCTACTCGTCCTTAATGAGTGAACAGGTGTGTGATGGCCCATTTGCAAGTAGGACTAGACAATTTACAAGACATATATAGGGATTCATAGCTATAAATAGTCCATTCACATGTGCCCTGCTTGACCTGAACAACGTGTCCATTTATAAGCAGGACAAGACAATTTGTAAAAGACATACCTGGATTCACATCCAGAATCAATGCATTTACATGTGAGCTGATTCACCTGAAGAATCTGTTTAAGTGAACAAGTGTGGCAAAGCCCATTTACAAGTGGGACTAGACCATTTGTAACATACATACATTTATTGACAACTACAGATAGTCAATTTGCATGTAGACTGGTTCACCTGAAGAATGTATCCGGGTGTGGGAGAGCCCATTTGCAAGTGAGATTAGACCATTTGCAACATATATACATATATTTACAACTACAAATAGTCTATTTGCATGTGGATAGATTACAACCTAACATAACCTGGGTTAGCTATAATCACTTATTGTCATGAAATATTTCAACTATTCACAGTACTATACAAAATATATTCCAACCCATTACCAAAAAATCAAAATGGGTTGCAATAGCTACTTTCCTAAGAACTCAATAAATACATAGTGGGGCTCATTTATATGCAAAAGTAGTTGTGTATTGAACAAAAAAAAAGACTATTTTTAGCAACAAAGTCATCCAGGGTTCGGGTTACTACAAGTCTTTTTAGTGTGACCAGCTTCACCATATCTTGAGTAATGATACAGTTTCTTCTACTGGAATTGTGATTTAATCCTCGTAACTTTAGGTCTTCTAGCACGGCGAGTTATCACTAGTGGTTGTAAGAAGATAGTGGATGAGTAATCTTCATATCGAAGTGAATCTGAACTAGGGATGTCATAGGTCTCAACTTGAATCATGAGTCTACCATAAATTTTCTTTTGCGCTGAGAGTAAAAAGCAATCCTTGACATATGCATATATATTACCATATACCTTCTTGATTGCAACACATGCATATGGGCAAGGTAGTCTTGACATTTGCCAACATTTGCTAGTGCATTCATGTAACACAAGATTTACCCGCACATCTAGGTTTTCCCATCTGACCCTGAAATTGCTCATTCCATAATCTTGCACATCTATTCTTTCTGATCTGATCACATGATCCATCAGCTTTTCCTTTATATTAGGTCCTACACCATTGCTCCAATTCCTCATGGCCTGTTTGCTGTTGTATATCTTTTTTGCTAATTTTTCCCTATGCTCATGTATCAAGACAGCTATGTTGTGCTTCCTCTTACCAACAAGCCAAGCATTAAAGGATTCAGCATTATTTGTTGTGATATTATCCCACCTCTTATAAAAAAATTTGCTTTGTGCCCAATGCTCAACGTCTCTATTTGTTTGAAGCCAGTATCCTAATTTTAGGCAAAATCCCATTAGCTTTTCCATACTGTGATCATAATCTCTGTCAAGTCTTGCGTACGCAATAGAATCAAGTAATTTTAGTGCAACTTCCTTCGTCTGTCTGCTGGTCCTCCTCTTTTCCCTGGCTATCTTCAAGAACTCAGCATTGTAGTTCTCCTTCACATGACGGTAGCAAAAAACATGTTGATCTCCTCCAAGCACAGCTTGCACTACACCTTTTATTGAGTTGTGCCTTTTTGATACTATTGTCACTTCTAATGATCTTGCAATATTCTTTAAGTTACCAAAAAACCATGCTCACTCATCGAGCGTCTCACCTCCAACAATTGCAATGCAAGTTGGAATAATTCATTATCTGCATCATACGCTTGTACTCACAATAACGTACCTTTATATGGACTACTCAAGTGGCATCCATCCACATATAATATAGGTATACCACCTTCCAAAAACCCTTTTACACAAAAACCATATGCAATAAATACAGCTTGAAATCTATTACCTGATGATGCAACCCACTTTGTTACCATTTCTGGATCACTTTCCATTAGCCTTTCACATATCCAAGAGCTTAACATATAAGACTCCTCTGGACAATCATGAATTTGTGCTAATGCTTTCTCTTTCGCCCTATATGCTTATTGGTACCCATACTCTCTTTCTAAATCCCGTCTAATGTTATTTGGAGATTTGTGTATGCAAGAAATCAACTCATCTACTATGACTGCTGAAGTAAGTTTGCACCTCTTTTTGTGAGGGACAACTAAATTGTCTTGTGCATAAATCTTCTCACAACTATGAATGCATTCTTGTCATCTATACCATATGCTGAAATTTCCTAAGGACAACCATCTACACAGCACTTCACAATTATCATATGCTTATCATTCTTTACATATCAGTAACTGATAACCTCTCAAAATTCCTACTGAGTTAAGTTGATTTAGTGCTCTTTTATTGGGTTTGACAGTCAATTTTGCAGGAAACAAAGCCTGAGGAGACTAAGCAATTGAGAAGAGCTGAAAAGAAGTCATCCGTCGTGGTATCTGGGAGAAAACGCCACGGCGGCTCAAATAGAGAGGGAGGAGTGCGTCTCTGTAAAAGGTGCCGCGGCGCCTTACTGAATCTGCCGCGGTGCCCAAGCTGTCTCAGAGGAAGCCTGTTCGGTATAATCCGCCGTGATCGATTATCACATGCACCGCGGTGCCTGAGCCTCGAAGGAAAGCCATTCTGTAATAGGCGCCGTGGCACTTGAAGGAATCCGCCGCGGCACCTAGCCCCTTCACAACTGTGCGTTTTACGTGGTAACTTAAAAAATTAGGGCATATAGAGGTGAATACTCGGTTTTTGAGGGAGACTTCGACCTGGGAGCAATTTGGGAGGCTGGCTCTACTAGGGTTTTGGAGCTTTGGAGGCTTGGAATCTTTGGGATTGAAGCTAGAAGAAATTCGAAGCTTGTAACTTGATTTTTCTGGGTTTTCTTCTTCTTCCCTTCTTGTTTCTGCTATGACTACTAGCTACTCTTATAGTTGTAGTTCTTTACTCGATATGTATAGCTAAATCCACTTTTCTAGGGTTATTTTGATCTATTGTATGGATTGAGACTTGGTTTTACTATCTATTGAGTGTTAATGATAATGTTTAGTTGTTTTTACTTTGAGCTTAATGCCTCCTTTTGTCTGCCATCATTTGGAATGATTGTTTGATTAGTCTAACTTGAGAAAGTTAAGTTAATCTATGAACTTTGGTAAAAACATGCTAGTCCGGAAATTTAATTGAGTAAATAGACGGTTTGTCGATAGAGCAGAGATGTATCTGTTGACCTAGCATAGACTAAATGGGTTTTGGTTTTTAAAGTGCAACCTTTTCAAACAAATCAAGAGATTGTTGTGTTTTAATCGTGATTGCAAACATTTGGTTTTGACTTGAGAAAGCTTAATCAATTCTGCAAACCCAGGCTAACTGAACTTATTGTAAAGCACTACTTGAGAAGTAATTAATCCAGTTTCATGAAGTACTTTAGTGAAGAATAACCCTAGTCTCTTAATTGTTTCAAGGTCGAGTTGATTTTATACTGCTTTAAACCATTGTTTTCCTAATTTCATTTCACAAACTCTTTTACAACAATTGTTTCACTTAACCTAATCAAGTACACAATTATGATTTTCAACTCATCTAGCCTTAGTCTCTGAGAGAACGATACATTTTATATTACTTACGACCCGTCCACTTACGGTTAAGTTAATTGGTGAACAATAACCAAAGTTTCATGCAAGGCTATACTTATGTAATGACTCTCTAAACTATTCACCACTAACAAAGGTTTGCCTTTTGACATCAACAAATCTGCCCACTTTGACAAATTCATTACCGCTATTAGTGTTGGCAACATTTCCATAACTAGATTTCCCATCAGTGTTGGCACACCTTGTATGGGAGATATGTTTATGTTGTCTATGTCTAGATCGAACTCAATTGGAGATACTAACCTTCCACAAGGACTGACCAAATCATCTAACCTGCATAAACAAATATAGCTACTAAGTCTTATGGTTCAATTTATCAAAATTGGACAAATTTCTTATCCTATACACACAATCTCAATAAAACCAATTGAAAACAACTTACTCTTATGCACTGTCCAACTGTGACACTTGTGTGAAGTCTTTCTTATTCTCACAAACATAAACATGGCCACTGCTATTGTTGTACTCAATTACTTGTCTAACACCAGTATCGTCCACAAGATCTAAGAATGTGTCCCGATTAAAGCTAACTGTATACTTCATTTTATGTTCACAAGTTCCTGGCCACACATCATGAGCTACCATGCATTGTAGTTCTTCATATGTCATCCCTTCTCTAATCAATCTTCCAATAATGATGCTCCCTTCATAAATGAATTTTCCTTCTGAGGTCTTTACAAAGTGCCCTTCAACATGAAAGGTGCAAAATACTTGTTTCCTACTACTGCTAGCCATTTATCCTTTGTTGTTACACATCATTCAAGTATGACTTTCAATCAACTTTTACTAATTAAAGATAGTGTATGTTTACATTAGCAATTTGAAAATTGACAACAACAATTAGTATTTTCACAACAATAACTTGCTTTTTCCCATATACAACTAGAATTAGCAAATTTACAATGGTAATACATATTTTTACCATTTCTCTGCACATCTACCTATCATATAACCCATTCCAGCCCACATACCCATTTCCCTTTCATTTCGACCTACCTAAGTTCCTTTAGCACCACATTATATTCAATGTGCACCCACTTTTCAAAAATCACAAACACCACATCTCTAACAACTTAAAATAGCATGAGCATAAATTTCTTAAAATAAAAAACACAATCAGATTTGCAAGTCACTCCCAACCTACATACCCATGCACTTAAATACTTATTTCTTTCTTATTCACCCATCAGAACCCACTTATGCTCACCAAATCACACGAACAAAACCAAAATTTTAAAAACAAAATCTTACCTCCTACGCCAAGCTGACGCCACTTCCAAAGAAGACGCAACACCATAGGGCAGACTCTTCCACCAACTCTAGCTTCGACTTTGATAGATGGCGGAGGGATGGACCTCAAAAGTGAAGCTCTGCCACTACATTTTCTCAGCTCATGGTTATCAGCTATCTCCCTTCATCACTGGTGCACTGCATGAGAGAGGTAGAAAATGGCGCCAACTCCCCCCCTTCCGTCTTTCTTCTTTCTTTTACACAACTGATAATATGTCTCAATTTTAGAGGGAAATAAGTATTTACCAGGGGTAATGGTGTCATTTTGTTTGTGGAAGTAATATTAGATTGGCCCCTTGGTCCTGCAGTGAGGTTTCAGAAAGTGTTAGGGGCAGTTTGAAATTAATTGTGTATTGTGGTCCTTAAACAAAATTTTCCCAATAAATAAGGCTGAATATATAATATTCCAATTTAGAAAGTTAAGGATTTCTAAGGACAAATCCTTCCCAAATTAGAATTTTAAAATTCAGTGAAATGACAAAAATGCCCTTTGTCTTTTTTTTTTTTTTAAAAAGGCCTCAACCCTCGCCAGTGGCCTGCCACTGCCAACGACTGGAGGCCACCCCCGACGGGCGTCGGCGTCGGCCATCGGTGTGGTGGCCGCTAATGAATTTTTTTTTGGCCATGTGAGAATATTACAAAAAGGTGGTAGAGGAAAGATTTAATCCCACTACCCCTTGGTAATTTGAGCCAACAAAAAAAGATGACCATTGAGCCACTAAAGATTTGTTAACCTTATAATGCAAACAAAAATATAGATTAACTCTTTTACTATGACTCCAACCCATGACAACAATTTATCTAGGGATGACAAATCTTAATTGAGAAATAACAAATCTAAATTTGATATTAACAAATAAACTTTTCCTGATACATAATAAGAAATAGCATATACATTAATTAAAAATGACAACAATTTATTTGGGAATGACAAGCCTTGATTGGAAAATGATAAGTCTAAACTTGGGATTAACAATGTGTTTTTTTTTCTGATACATAACAAGAAATAACAACTACATTAATTAAAACTGACAACAATTTACTTAGGAATGACAGGTCTTGATTGTAAAATGGCAAGTCTTGACTGTAGTTAGACTAGCTATGCCTGTCACACAGATAAATAGGATTTTCAATATTTACACCTAAATAACTATGAGGGAAAGGACGCATCAAAATAAAGTCAGATATAGTCTTCTGTAGGTAATTAAATACATTTGACGCATACAAATCATTTAGGAAAGAAAAAAGAAATAGCACAAATTCAGAACAAAAAATGTAATCAAGCAATGAAGACTTGTTATTTTCCAATTAATACATGTTATTCTCAAATAAATTGTTGTCATTTTTAATTAATACACATGTTATTTCCTGTTATATATCAGGAAAAGACATATTGTTAATCTGAAATTTAGACTTGTCATTTTTCAATAAAAACATGTCATTTCCAAATAAATTATTATTATTTTTAATTAATGTACATGCTATTTCTTGTTATTTATCATAAAAAGTTACTTTGTTAATATCAAATTTAGACTTATTATTTCTCAATTAAGACTTGTTATCTCTAAATAAATTGTTGTCACAGGCTAGAGTCATAATAAAAAGTAAACTTATATTTTTGTTTGTATTATAAGGTTAATAAATCTTTGGTGGCCTAATGGTCATCTTCTTTCTTATTGACTCAAATGACCAAGGGGTAGTAGAATCAAATCCTACCCCCACCACTTTCTTGCAATATTCTTGCATGGCAAAAAAAAAAAAAAAAATCCACAGGCAACCACCACATCAGTGGCCGGCTCTGCTGCCTGACAGTGGTGGTTGTCCACTGGCGGCTAGTCACCGACGATGGTCAGTCACCAGCAAGCGCTGAGCTTTTTGTTTTTAAAGACAAATGCCACTTTTGTTATTTTACTGAATTTCAAAATTTCTATGGGAAAACCATATCATAGGTACCTCTACTTTCTCTCAATTTTTAATTTGATACCTATGTGTTT